TAGAAACGGTGAAGTCTACATATTCGATTTTAAAATAAAAACGCGCCTTCACGAATGCTTGAAACTATGTATATGTACTATAGAAACATTCGGATTTACAATCTATATCAATAAAATAGAAAGATGAAATGTATAAACTGTTTGTTGTGTTTATTTCGTGAGGTTATATGCCTTATGCGATGTTAATAGCAATGGTGCACAATGTCGTATGGTAGCGCTGTTCTATAGTATGTTAGTATGGCTGGTGGCGCACTTCACAACACATATACCATCACCATCACCATCACCAGGCGTTGTTATCTGTTTTGCGTTTATTAAACCTTTCTTATAAATCGCGCACCTGATTTGTTTTCTGGGCATGTTATAAGAATGATATTGGAAACATAGAATAAACGAATCAGAAATGGAAGTACTTACCCGTTGTCGAATATGGATGTCATCATATCAAATAGAACACGTCCCATGTGATGGAAAGCTCTTCTTTTGCCTGATGTAAAAGGGACATTGATTGTTAATCTCAGTATTCGAATGAGTGTTTTTTTAAATTGGCTCCAAGATGTCGGGCTTATTTTCAATTTTACTGGATATCGATACTGAACAGTTACACCTACGGAAAACAATGCATCGTCATTTTTTTCATTTTCATCTTTGCAACCCAAACAAAACTCGGGATACTGAATAATTACTGTAATAATGTACTTGAAAAACAAACGTGCCAATAGAGCATAGAACATTTAATAGTTTAAAAAAAGAAATTATTGTTTAGAAATCTATTTATTAAAACATGGTTTATTTCGCAGGACAAGATCATCATTGTTAACCGGATATTATCCACACAGAACGGGAATGCAGGTGAATATACGTATCTCAGATCGATAAACAATTGTTGTTACGAGGGGCCCTAACAACTCGACTAAGTTCCCGTAGATAGTGCATGAGATCGAATCTATCAGAATTTACTTAACAAAAGTATACACTTCTGAAGTGACATATATTGTTGTTATTTTTCAGTATTATACTATATACCCACATGAAGGTTATGGCTTACCGGTCGACTTTGAATTGTTACCTCAGAAATTAAAAGAGCTTTGCTATAGTACGTACGCGATTGGCAAGTAAGTACAGGCTGAAATGCGATGTCCGCAAGCTACATGGCATGACACAATTGACTCCCCGTGTGTGACAGTGTTTGATCGGATGACTCAAAGTCTGAAGATTGTCGATTAGAGGTAGTCAATTTGTTCACATATATTCAATTGTCCTAGGGGTCATAAGTTCAAAACACAAAGGAAACTCTAGTTTATTTTAAAAATATTATTACACCTAATCCTTCGATTCAACTAACGCCGCTTTTTATAAAATCGAACTGCATACCTTTTTCTAATATATTTAAACAATTTCAATCACCAAGACTAAGTACAAAAATATCGTGCTCAAAAGGTAATCACACTGGAGTATTTTGAAGTGGTCTTGTTCCACATATCAAATTCCTACTTTCACAGTAGAGTTGATGAAAATGAATGTGCGGATTATGAACATATACAGGACGTAAGTTTAGATAATGGTTTTGTATTACATTAATCATTTTGTTGTGTTAGAAAATATCATAACGTTGTTTTTTCCTCGTCTTGTACTTGGTACACGATACTATTTTTTCCATCTCGTGAATACAGGTGGCATTTAGGTTTCTGTGCTGATGAATACCTGCCGCAAAACAGAGGATTCGACGAGTTTTACGGCACATACACAAGTGGTGTGGATTATTTCGAAAAAACGTCAAGAGACCCGCTCACTGGTATGTAGTGTTACTTAATAAATACTAAAGATCAACACATATCTGACTTGCGGGTGAATGTTTAAAGTGTTTATAACCTTAATGCAAATGATGGCTGTATCAAATCATGCTGGTGTACTGTGTAGAATAATTGCTATGTGTGTTTGACATTAAAACCCACTGACTAAAATCAGTTGCTTCTGATAATGTTTAACCACATTTTACATCTTACAAAAACAATGTTTGTTATATTTTGTATCTATATTACATGATTAATGTAACAGTTTTACATAATGTATTAATAACTTTATTCGTTTAAGTGTTTTAAAATATAATGAACCATATATATTCGTGCGTGGTGGATTTTCGTGAAATATAACGTAATTATATGATAAAAATAATGATATTCATATTCACAGATGAATCAGCGTATGATCTTCATCAGAATAAAAAGAAAGTAAAACCTAATGAAAACAAGTATTTGTCGGTAAGTGTAATCTTTTGTATAACATACCAATCAAATAGAACTATTTAATTATACAGTTTGTTTGTATTCATTTCAAACCCTCGTCTCCGTCTCGGACAACATATTATGTTAACGACCTTTGTTTGGAATCATCATGTCTTCCGCAAACATTCTTCTTAAAATATAATTATTAATGAATTAACATCAGCCAAATTATGTTATTATTGTCATCAGGAACAATGCTTGGAAAAAGCCACTCGCTATATTGACAAACACGATACGGACACGCCGTTATTTATGTATTATGCGTTTCAATTAACAGGATCTCCTCTACAGGTATGTATTATCACCAGAGCAAGCGGTGTTGGGTTGTTATCAATAAACCAATACGATATTATCTTATTAAGGTTGTCAATATCCATCTGTTCATTCTATAGTTCTGCTTCAGCGGTTGACATTATTGGATTCATGCATAATGTAGTCATTATGAAGAAATTTTCTAGAAGTATAATCAGAAAAAATATACGTTCTCGTTTTAGGTGCCCCAAGACAAATTGGATCAATTCAGTCACATCAATCCGGAAAGACGTGCATTCATGGGTAAGACAACTGAAGTGTACTGAGAATAATCGAACATTTCCGACACATGCACCCAGCCAGTTTCAAACCTGTAAATTTTAATAAATTTATAGATGGAACATGCATCTGCTGATAACGGTTGTGCAAGCGTCAAAAACTACATTGCACGCAAAACAGAATTTTCAAGTAACAACAACATGGGGTACTGAGTATAATGACGTTAATGGCGGTTTGTGAACATTCACAGCATCTTCATGAATATACCTCATATATACAACTTATTCCCATACGTAGATTTTATGTATGTTTGTATGTTTGTTATTTCCGAGATTCGGCTTGTGCAGTATTATCATCTAGTATTTCTGTGTGGTGTTCACGACTGATTGTTGCTTTGCTACATATAACCACAATCATTCCTGTAAACATCTAGCTATAAATAGTTTCAATTGTGTACGTATGACACATTAAGGTAGAGATGCAGGTTTGTGGACACTTGGGAGTGGTTTTTTTATTATTCAAAAAGTTTTGGCTGTAGACTGTTAAAATTTTGTAGAATTGTGAATAGTAGAACATACTCAAAAAACGGTTTTAAAATATAGATAACGAGGTGAAAACATTCCCTCTTTTGAATGCTTAGCAAGATTTAGCAAGGCTGTACATAAATAATGAAAAAGAAACATGGTGAAAAAAGACATGACGGCATCTCCATGTTATGCACTATATTTAACTTTTAACAAAACGATAATACATTTAAATTTGGAACTGTTACAGCCATTTTAATTATGAGCATTAGAAAACTTCTTACTGAGTGAATTGTTATGTAAATTAGCAATTATCTCAGCTTCTTTTTAGTGCACATCTCAGAACTTTAAAAAAAATAGCTCCTAGACGCTTTGACCTTTTGTTTTGAAATTTTCACAAATGATTGACAATGTTTCTATTTTCAAAACGCCGTCGGGGCATTGTTTTTTGTTGAACAGTGTTACAGCAATCTTACAGACAACTAGTCTGGGTGTTAATTTATGCATAAACTTGAAGTAGTGGAATTTTAGCTGTTGCCCTGCAAAATTGACAACTGGTGGACAGTTTTCAAGACGGCACTTTCTTCATTGTAAACAGATGTACCCATACACCAATTTTGACAGGAAACAGTAGCATGGTTTAGAAGCTAATTTTTTTTAAATCACTTTTGACCAAAAACACACATTTTTGTGCATATTTCAAACTACAGTGTCCATAATAAAAAAAATACAAACAAAATTTTAAGCTTTCCGAAAATATATAGTTTTGTGGACAAGGGAGGTCATCTTGGTTTCCTAATTAACTAATTACAATACCTGTCAGGTAAACTGCATCTCTACCTTAAGCTCAGTTGTATAACTAACGGCCATACATAACAATTGATCTTTTTTCTTTTAATTTACAGCAATGGCTTCCGTGATGGACGATGCTATACAAAGCGTAGTCGATGCTCTTGAGGATAAGGACATGTTGGACAATACGTATATCGTATTCCTCAGTGATGTGAGTATCGACCAACACGAATGTCGTGGTTTGTATAGTAATAGAAAAATAAGGCCCGAATAAGAATAGAGATCAGGGGATAGCCACTCCCTACATGAACCCTCTCCAAGAAACATCCCTTTCGACTAGCAAATTGTAATTGTTCATTTCAATGTTTATTTCTTCATAAGTTCCTATTAATACATTGTTCATATTTTCTTAGAATGGAGGCGAAGTAACGAAGGGAGGAAACAACTGGCCACTGCGGGGCAATAAGGGAACACTATACGACGGGGCCATGCGTACCCCAGCTTTTGTTTGGGCCAAGCCTGGAACTGGCTTGATGTCCACTGGTGGAAATGTAGCTTCTGGGTAAGTTAATAGGAATTATATAAACGAAACTGGTGTATATTGAACTAAATTGACAAAACAAATATTTCAGCATATTGCTTTTTTTGGGTAAGCGTATTGCGGATTATTTCCTCAAATACTTCTACACTTTCACGAATCAATTGCATAATTGTTTCTTCATATCAGCTTCATGCACGCCGTTGATTGGTTTCCAACGATTCTTAGTATCGCAGGAGGTACTAATACCGGTACGTTGCAATTGATTGTCAATTGATATGTATGATATTTAGAACTTAGTTACTATAGTTGGTCTGGTTATTGTGTTTGAATTTAGTTCCCATTCTCTGTTCATTTCCTGGACATATTGTGTTGCCATCATAGTATGAAAATGATAGACTATGAGTGTAATATTTGTTGAACAAACACAATGCTGGTTACGCTGCATTAAACAAATGGAAAATATTTTTGATGCATTTCCAAAAAACAAAATTCATCCAAATCTAAATCAAATGTATACGTAAAATTGTTGTTAAAGTGGTTTGACCCGATGTCCATTTCTACTGTACTCGTTGACAACACGGGCATATTACAAACTGATGTACGAGTACTGTTCTCATTTCAGATGTAAACATGGATGGTAAGGACCAGTCGTTAATGCTGTTGGAAGATGTGTCTGTACATCTCCGTACTGAGTTCCTGTACGCGTTGGACGAAAGCATGAACGCAGCAAACAAGAGAGCTTATAGGTAAACTATGCAGTCAGTGAAATTGTTACATAAATTATACAATACCATCGCTTATATCTTTTGTATTAACGTGCGGTTAATAATCATTAAACAATAAACCAACAATTTCTCATCTGGTGAGAATCACATGCATTATTCAAGTTGGAGCATTTTGTGTCATATGTCACTTTTCTCCAGTCCCTAATTGTAATCAACTATTCATATATTTTCGGAGGTATTTATTTCAGTTACAGAACAGCGTAAGCCAACAATGCTCCTGTTCACGGCTTTGCATACGAATAATTGTGTTTATCTAGGTTTGGAGATTTCAAACTATCGAGGGTGAGCCATCATATATGTATCCAGTGAGAATCAATGACGACACCGGTAAGTATGAATGTGCAAAGCTCAGACTCGTGGACATTAAACTACATTTTTCATTTTACAAACTTCAGTCGTAGCTTGCACAAACATTTGTGAGTTTTTGAGCTATTTGTAGACAATGGTTCGGAATTTATCTGACGGTAAAAAAGCCGTATTTTTTAACGAAACCGTAACCATCTTGTTACTAAGTGAGTTTCACAGATGTACACATAGTTGGGGGTCATGGAAATGACCATGGTAGTTATTCAATATGGGTTGGTATTGCGGTGTTTCAAGGTTCGAATAGGCGTATCAGATTTTGGGTGCTTACTACTGCGTGTTGATGTTAATCGGGGATCATCATTGAGCTAGAATTACGGCGTGCATAAATGACACATCTTTATTCGTCAACCAATAAGCGCGTTTCTTACTGTTTGCCGTGACCGTGATTAACACGTGTTTGCAATGCTTTCGTAATTAACCAGGAGGGGTGGTTCTTTGGACGGGTGGCTCTTTCCTAAAATGTCCCCTTAAATTACGAGTTCTAACATTTGACACCCTCGCCAGTAACAGACACACACATACTGTTTTTGGGAAGTAAAATTAACTGTTTTATTATAGTTTGTGAATTTTTAGTTTTGTTGGCAATTACTGCTTCAAAGCTGCATGCCCATCAATGGTTTTCATGTGATTCTGATCGAATTTTCGATTGCAACCAGTATATGTCCACTTTGGCAACCATGCTTATACCAGTCTGAGAGGGCTAGTACTAAAAAACATTTGAGCTTTGGAGACTGATGAAGGTATTAAGGGTGGCATGCCCCTTTTATGACAACCATCAAGGTCAACGTAATATTATGAAATCGAACAAATTATCTCTGACAATATTAGCTGTGACGTATGACAAATATATGACTGGATAGTGGAGTTTATAATACCCATGTGACATATTCGGTGATTGTATTTTATTCATTATTTCAGATGAGGTTTTTGATGTTCCTTCCGGTGTTAGCAGCCCTGTGATCTCTAACTACACGATCATTGAGGCCCCAGGGGAAACACCACAGCCAGACCCCGCTATGTCTACACCTTATGTACTGCTGTATAATATGATCGGTAAGTTCTAGTTTTTGTACTGCCCACTGTTATTTGATGTCTTAAACACATAACGGTCCTATATAGTGAGCATTCATGTACTCCCCTCATATGCATGTGACGATTATGTATTTTTTCCTTAATTCCAAAAATTCCTAAACATTTACAAGTAAGAAGCAATATACATATTCGCATTTATGAACGTGTAGGGAACATACATATAAAATTGAAGTGTACAACTATTAAAAAGAAACGAACGCAAAACTGTTGTAGTGTTGATAATTAACACTTCACACTAGGTTATTCAAATTACAATTTCGTTTTTCTTGTGTAATAATCTCATTATCATACATATAACGGATGGTGAAATCTACGTTGATTTTAGACATACAGAAAACCCATCTAAAACAACAAAGGCTGGACAATAGTGGTCCACGGCACGTTATTCTACCGTTGAAGGACTATACGTTATATGCAAATGTGTCATTCTATAAAATGATAAAAAAACATGGAGTATTATGTCAATTTATATATCCTATGATGATACAGAAGCATTCACTTAACTGGATTCGAATTGCCTTTCTAACACAAATGTATTACTGTATATGTAAATGTCCATCGAAATGAGAATGCGAGCAACGAGACTTGTATTTACGTCTAGAATAATGTCCACTCTTGTCATCGCGTCCAATATTCCCATGATAGATACAACCCTCACTTTACTTGTGAAATCCCGATATGTAAATGAGTGTCACCCAAGATTTCTTCTTTCGTTTCAGATGACCCTGCCGAACAAAACAACCTCGCGAACAAATTTCCGGAACGCATAAACGTTCTCATTATAGGATCGAAAATCAATATGCAACGAAATAAAAGGGTAGACAGTCTGAGGTTGAATGAGACTGCATGGAACAAAGATATGACCGCCTATAACAAAATGCTTTCCAAGGGTGTCTGGAAGTCGGGATGGTGCTCTCCCATCAGTCTGACATCTACTTAATAAGACCTTTGCTCGGCCTTTATAATTTAATATTCAGTGGCGTTCGGTAATCTGGGGTGTCGGCCTGCAGTGCCTCCTTAGAAATGCTCATATCTATCAATGACATTCCATCCTGTAATTTTCAAATGTGCATTTACAGGAATGCACAAATACCCTGAACAGTAAACCACTAGAGCAAGATTTTTATCAATACCGTTCTTGGACTTCATTTGTTTATAATCTCTGTAATGTTAGTTGTGAGATAACACGACCATTTCCATTATTGCACTGCTATACTATACTATTCCATTCATTCATTCATTTATTTATTCATTCTTTCAATCACTCACTCTTACATTTATGTGATGCAATGTGAATTGTAGTTTTGTGTTCACTGTTACTTGTTTTTCTTGACCTTGTGTCTGATAATAAAATATTATTTTATAAATCGCATATTTTCATTGTGTCTGTATTGTAAACTTTGCTTGTAAATATGTGATAACAGAATGCAATGAAACTTGAGCTCAAACTTAAATGTGTGTTTGTCCACGGCGGATTTCACACAATTCGAGGGTCTACACAGGCTCAACCAAACTTTCTATGTTTCGCTGTAAAATAAGAAGTCTGCCTTTGTTTTGTTTGAGTAATCCTAGTTAATTAACACTAAATATCAATGTATTGTAACTAATAACTGGAGAAACAATGTTATTTATTAAAGTTGTATTAGCCTATGACGTATAAAGTAGTATGCGCCATATAACAAATGAAACATTTAGTGTATCTGATTCAGTCTTTAGCAAATACCAGAACATTGCATGTGCTTTGCTGTTTCTGCTTTGATTGAGTTTTCAGCATCGTTTTTGAATTAATAAACTTATTCTTCAACGACTTGACGGTCGATAGATCTATTTGTTTTTCTGAAACCCATAAGAATGGAAGATAGACCTCAGTTTAATTGCATCGATGGGACTAGGTAAGGCATGGCACGCAAGTCGTTGGCACTGTCACAGAACACAATAAATATTACAATTATGGAAATTAGTTATTGGTCATGAAGATGAGTCATGAGATTTATTCAAACTGGATAGACCTAAATATATTATGCAAATTTGTGGTCCCAAAATAGCCGCTATTCAGCCATATTCAACTAAATTGTAATGAATACCAACGTGCATATGTCACGTCTGTCCATTCGTTCGACCGTCCGTCTGTCTGGAGACACTCATTGACCGATTCCATTCAAACTTCACAAAATACAATACATCACGTCTATTATATGTACGGCAAGTTAAATGATGATTTAAACATGACTGTTTTGGACAGTTTCTAATCCGGTACTGTTTCTCAGAGATGTTTTCTATCAAAGTTGGAATGATAATCACACATACTGGGTTACAGCTCAAGTCGTTTTTTTCTTGTCATTCAAACAAAAATGGCCAACTGGTGACCATTTTATTGTTTATGGTGTCCATGCCAGTTTCTCTTCAATTATATTAACTTTTGTGTTTAATATTAGTATAAGGCTATATCTTTTCAATTCATTGTTTATTTGTTTGTTTCATGAGTTATTCAATACAAATTTCTGGAGAGTCAGTAACACATGCATGCTGATAGTTTTTCTTAATTCTAATTATTTCACATTATACAGTTATTGTGTGAATTGTTAATTATTTCCTATTCGTCGTCTACATGTTTTATTGCAGTCATCCCTTGCTTTATATCAGTGACAGTTTATATAGGGTTAGTAGCTAATATATTTCACGACGTGTGGGCTAATTTGCATATAGAGAGAGCATGCATTTTATTCAATCAGTAATTTAGAAAAAAAAACAAGTGGGGCAATTCTATTGTTTTTATGTGAAAGTGAATTTGAACGGTTTGTGAGATCTGTACAGTCCATTACCACGATGTTCAATGGAATGATGCAGTAAAAGTTTTTAGATAAACATGTTCAGGCGTAGGTATGAAATTTACAATATTATTTGTCATTTTCTGAATTAAGTGATATATTGCGGCTGTGTCTGTGCTAATGATAATTTGTTTCTTAAAATAAACAAGTGGTAGTTCATTGTAAGGTAAATATCAGGGGCGTCGATCCATTCTGAAAGTGAGGGAGACACTTTTGTGTTCCGACACCCCTATGTTCCGACAAACAGTATACTTGTGTCAAACTTAATCTGACTAGCCGTGCGTGACCTTTTACTACCTTGATATAACCAGGATGTCCTGTGGGTTAATACTGGAAATCCAACTGTAGTGTAGTCCGGCCATGATGCTCGAAAGTCCGTGAAGGCGGGATCTTGCATAATGTTATCGGATAATTATCAGAAAATTATCAAACAATGTTGCCCATTGTATCATTCTAATACTTCGACAATTATTTGACAATATCCGTGTCTGTTGGATGTGGTTCCAACCTTAAATCCTTCGATTGCCTAACTATCGAAGTTTTAGATCGATAATTATTGGAGAATTATTTTACCTTTTTTTATGAAAGTTGTACTTCGATATTCATCAGTCGCGGAATTGCAAGGTTGCCGTTTACATCCGGTAGCACCTTTCCAAGTTATTATCTACATATTAA